CATGTTGGTAGGTGAGCTTTGATGAGATTAGATAAATAATTTGGACTCTCAGCCACGCACATGAACCAGAATTGGCCCGTGCATGGGCGCGTGGTCTGCGGTTCTTAAAGGAGCTCGCGCCAGCTTGTCGTTGTAGGTGTTCATGGGTAGATAGGCCAGCCTTTATTTGCAATCCTGAGGTCGACACGAGCCACGAGGAAGGGGACAGATTCTCCAGAACGGCTTGGCTTCCTTTCAGCCCTTGATGATCAACCTTGTGGACCGGTGGACCATCCGGCCATTCTCACCCGACCACAGATCAGAATGATTTCTCCATCTAGGACCACCAGTCTAGTGGCAAGACATAGCAACATCTTCTGACCCCCCCATGGATCATGGTTAAAATCCTTCAAGAGCTTCTTCCGGCAATCTGTGGCCACCTAGAACTCGTTTTCAGCAGATTATAACTGTGACTCACAAACATGGAAGTGGGAGTTCACCCCCCCTGTTCGTGAAGGAAAGCAGTTCTTCCGAACTTGGGACCAGGGACCATGGCATCCATCCACGTTGGCCCATGTGATGTGTGAAGTCAGAGTGTATCACTATGACTCTACCCTAGAAGTCCAGTTCGGTCCTATATTTTGACCGGCTGGAGTGTTCAGGAAGTTCCCAGACTCAGTTCCCTTAGTCAGACCATTCTTTTTATCGTCGAGCTTGACTCCCAGGGTCTACGCCTCTACGCCGGGGGTGCGTTCGGCACCGCCCACTTACCCGGCTCCCAACACCCCTCCCCGGCCGCGGCTCCACGCGTCCACCGGTCCGTCCGGACGCGTCCCCCCGGGACGTCCGCGTGACCGGCGTGGAAAGCGAGTTTCGGCTCAGGAGCTTCAGTCCGGGGATCTGGTGACGTTTGGTGTCCCGTCCTCACAAGCGGAGCAGGGCAGCTCAGGGCAGCGGAGGAGCAGGAGCAGGAGCAGTGCACACTCCGCCTGGTTTGAGAAGTGACAGAAAGCAATGACACAAAAAAAAGGATCTAAGAATCTAAGTAGGTCTTCAATCATGGTCTTCACTATACTTTGGTGTAGGGGGGTCGCCCTTCTCAATCTTCATTGGAGGAAGACTTCGGCGTTGCATGCTAAAATAGAGCTGCCTAATAGCGTGGGCAGTGGGCAGTGGCTTTTAATCATCCGAGAATGCTTGGTCAAACTATACATGACTCTTTGGCCAAGATCAAGAAAACTTCAAGGATGACTATAAGACTATATATATACATTTCCCTCGGGGCCATTTTTGGACGTGTTGAGAAGCGTGAGAAGCAGCACATGTTTCAATCGGACCATGCTGGCCGCTTTGGATCGAGTTTACCACAAGAAAGTCCGCCATGGAGCGGATTCGTTGCGGAGCGCTGGCTTTTTCGCGCTCTCGCGTCCACGTTTGATGCGGTGTGTCCTTGGCACACTGGCCCGGCTGGGTGTCCTCAATGCCTGGCTGGTGTCATTGGTGGGAGGGGCGCAGCCACATCATGGACGGTTCCATGTGCTTCCGGATGGATCCTTGGACTGTTGTACTGGTAGACTGTTGAGTCAAAGGCCCCAGACCAAAGAGGTTTGACCACCCATGTTTGGTCCAAAAAGGCCCCATACGAAGGCCCCATGTGGTGGAAAACTCTATGAAGAGGTTTGATTCATCAAAGTTCATAGATATTTTTGACCACATCTCGGGGTCAGCTGCTCCCCGGTCACCTCAAACCTTGCAGAGACCACTGACTGTTGACCGACCAGAAAAAACACATCGTGACAGTGACAGACCTGTTATTTTGTAGTGCAAAAAGGGTGCTTCGGCAATAGCCATTCATTCAATTCAAGGTGGTTGAGCAAGAGAGCGTTCCGAGTCATGATAGCCTTTGAAGCGCACCATCCAGATCATGGGTGGACGGAGAACCAGGCAGTCTTTCCACCGAGTCGAGCGTCGGCCGGGCTTCGACTTGGCCAACAGGTTCGCCAAGTCACAGGCCATGGAGTCCACATGCGTGCGCAGCGTAAACATGAACCACCCGAAGCACACTCCAAGCACTCTTGTTGGTCAGTGGAAAGTGAAAGTCCCAGAATTGGTTTTAAGACGATGTTCAAGGGAACATTTAGATTAGAGGACACCCACAAGTGTAGATGATTTTCCGATCTATAACATAGGGTGTTCAGAAAGAACCGTTTTTTCCGGTGTTCCCGCTGATATCCCAGATATCTATCAGAATCTCCGGTAGACTACCGTCTTCCGGAAGTGGTTTTTTTGGGGGATGTTGGAAGGGCCACCCCCTTCCCAGCAAGGAACCCTTCGCTCGGTCAAGCAGCACTTCTACGCGTCTCTCTTGCGGACTGAAGACCGGCAGTTGGCCGTCGGTGAGGACCTGCCAGCAGGGCTGGAGAATGTCGGATGGCCTGGAGAAGTAAGGGTTTGTTTGTTGTTTTGAATGACTGATTGATTTGATCTGATTGATTTGATTTATTTTGTTTGTTTTGCTTTTCGTTGTTCCTTGTGCTTTCCCCATTTGTATGTGTTTGTTTTTTCGTTGTGGTCCTATTCTTGGGTGTTGTTTGCTGCAATAAGTGTTATTTCATGTTTTCCCAAGAGTTCCTTCAAGAAGCGTTTTTTTTTTCATGGTAGGTGTTCCATCACACTCAATGACCACACTGGCGATTCAGTGGATTTCAACATCTACCCGAGTCTACCCTCCGAAAAGATCCCAAACAAGCCCTTAGCATCCGACTCTACCAGCCCCCTTGGAGGGTTGGGAAGGGCCCTGTTGCAGGTCTCAATTGGTGACCTGTAGAGTCGGGTGCTGGCCGTTTGAAGCTTGTTTGCTAATCCCTTCCCCTCACCTAACGACTCGTTGTTCAAGATCACTTGATCAAGGAAGCGGTTTGGTCTCAGGTTTTTCCTCCCTGATTCCGGTCTGCCAGGTCACGAAGTCCATCGATCACATTCAAGGGGAAGTGAACTCAGTTCAAGTGATGAGAGTCAGATTGGATGGAGATGGTGATACCCTGGAGTTGATTAGCAACTTGATTGGTTGGAGAGTGTGCTGGATCATGTGGGGGAGTGATCCAGGATTTGGCCAGCCGCCAGGTGTCCTTTGATGTTCGGTGAGTCAACCACTTTTCGGAGACCTAAACGAGGGGACCGCCATCGAGTCGATGCAGAAAGACAGAGCTGGGTGATGCTGGGTGTGGGTCGTTCGCATCGATTCATGGGTCGAGCTAGGAGGGTCTTGTTTGAATGCCCCCCTGAGTCGATATGCCCTAGAAGTCCACTTCGACTATACTTTGACCGGCAGGAGGCAAGGATGTTCCCTGACTCAGTTCCCTTAGTCAGACCATTCTTGTTAGAGTCGACTGGACTCCCAGGGTATGTGAGACCATGGAAGACCCGAGGCCCAGCTCGACCCGAGTCTGGAGGGTTCGGATAAGAGATGGAGCTTGCTCGACCCCAGGTAGACCGGTTGAAACGGCATGCCGTATTACACGTGGCACCGTGCACCACACACCAACCTTGGACTGTTTGGGGCATGGAAGCAGTTTGTAATTGGGGCTACAGAGGAGCACACCGGTTTCTCCAAGAGTTCAAGGTGGACATGTACCAAGGGTGTGTCCATAACCAGATCATATAGATGATCACTATCTTTGGACATGTCGGCCTGTAACGAATCCGTTTCTGTATGTTTTTGTCCTCTACATGGGTCCCCGGAAGCGAACGTTGTCTTCCTCGGAATGCGCATGTTTTGTATCCCCCGTCACATGAGTCCTCTCAGACATCAACCAAAAAACAGACATCAACAGACGGTCCTACTGATGACATTCTTTCATGAAGACGCCTCCCCACACGGCTGCCATGAACAAGCCATGAACCAAAAAAACGGCATTCTGCGCGACGCGACGTGGTCTTTACGCATGCGAACGCCGCAGCAAGGCACAGTGGTCTTTACGATGACAGCGACCTGGACCACTCAATGAATGGGAGTTACCCAACCCCTAGGGATCCACTGCCACCTTCTCAGAAGGTGCGACTGGGCCCGACCCAATGAATCCCTAGGGATCCAGTCGTACCTTCTCAGAAGCTGATTGGAGACACTGTTATGTAGGTTTGGAGGGTCCAAGTACCTTCTGAGAAGGACTTGAATCCCTAGGGAATGGGTTAAAGGATGGCTAAAGGGAACATCTGCAGGAACCCATGGTTTTCACCCCCCCCCAATTTCCTATGGGTGTCCGGAAGTTTTTCCCTTACACCAACTCGTTGAACCACCACTGGCACCACTACCAGAAAGCGAGAAAGACACCGGACATGCATTTGGAACAGCCGTTGATCCCATTGGACCCGACTTCAGTGAATGGCTTGGTGCTGCTTATCCACCTCCACAGGGGTGGTGATGTGGATGTTTTTGACCTCCTACACTCCCGTTTGAAACCAACATGGGAACCGTGGACGGCATGGCTCCGAGTTCGGAAGACCCTGAAATCCGAATACTAAACAGGTGGTAAACTCCACTTCCATGTTAGTTCCAGGGAGAGTACATCCGGTACATCCATTCACCTTAGGTCGCGAGATGTAGTCACTCCAACCTTCGGAGGTTGTTGGATCTGGTGGATGTTGTCCCGATGCGGGTGAGCGGGTGAATGTGTTTTGGCTTCACTACTTCTTCCCGTTTTCAAGTTCGGTGTGCAGCAGTGTCCTGTTGGCTGCAACCAGGTCGATGTCCCGTTTCCCATCGGTTCCGGGCGCAGTTTGCATCGGTTCGGTGGACCCTGAAGAAACCATCTCATCTCTTGAACTGCCATAGGATGTCACCATAGGCCTTGAATTTCTAGGGATCCAGTCGTACCTTCTCAGAAGCTGATTGGAGACACTGTTATGTAGGTGCCAGGAGATTCCAAGTACCTTCTGAAAAGGTACGACTGGATCCCTGGGGATTGAACTCCCACTTCAATCTCACTTCCGCTGCCTTTTTTGCCGAAGAGGTGAGCGTTTGAATGCTGGTGGCCTTCAAAATCCTTAGCGCCATCTATCCGGTTCTCTATTCCCGGCGAGCGCCTTGGGCGAGACTGGCGGTGTCGACCCAACCCTTTCTTCAGACAGAGACTCGTAAGTAGAATTCGTCGGATCTAGAAATAGATGCTCGCAGATAGTAGCAGTCTGCATTAGATTAGATTCAATTGTTTTCGGCCTTTTTGGATAGAACCCGGAAGAGTAGAAGACTACTGAAAGATACTGAAAGTATAAGGATGCTCCCGCGTTGGTGTGTGACGCGTGCTGTCTTTGGTACTTTGGTCATGTTCTATCCAAGTAAGACTTTGCAACAGGACGCCCCTCCCCCCCATCGGCCTATGGGTTCAATGTTTGGCCCGATATAGCACGTTTTCGGAATTTGTTTTCTCGTAACTTGCACATGTACTTCCTTCCAAGAGGCAATGCACCCCAAACAAACATCAGCGTAGGTCAAGATTTGTATCCAGTGCATTTGGGAGGGGTGCTTGTCACATTGACATATTGTATCCCCCTAAAAATTCCCCCTACAGATTAGTGCTACCTGGGTACTCCCGAGCACCCATTTTATAGAACTATAGAATTGAGACACTCAGGTTCCTTGATTCTAAAAGGAGACCACGAGATACCACGGGAAGGTTCCGACAAGGGTGCAATTTGACCTAGTTGACCTGGGGGTCGTGATTCTAAAGTGATAGAACTCTGAGATCTATGTTTCCGTGAGCTGTGTACTGGTGACATGGGGACTTTGATTTCTTAGTGGCAGACATGTTGATGGTCATTGACTGATTATGATTCTATAGAGGAACAACCTTTGAGTGCTTTTTTTTGTGATAGAATCAGAGTCTTTTGAGCATATAGTATTATAAGGAATCGGTCTGTGAGATGGGGGTTGTGATTCTTTAGTGTTGAAAACTTCATACATACTTTCCGTGAGCTTTCACTTCACGACATAGGGGCTGTGATTCTATAGCGTGCGCATGAGTTGGGGGGGCATGATTTTATAGAGACCCCCACATGGGGGGGGTGGATCTATAGTATGAAGTGGTGCTACCCAAGTAGCCATATGAATTTCAAAGGGGATCATATTATATCATAATTTACCATGCTGACAGATCTTTACATTATCACTTAATCATGTTGCTTTGGGGAAGTACCTGGGCCCTCCTGACAACATCCCAATAATTATAGCTATCCTGTATTACATAGAACATGGGAGCATCCAAACCAATAGCAACTGATCCAGTGTTTGGATTGGGACTCTAGAAGTTTGCAAAGACCGGGTCGGACTGGCGAATCCCGCGAGGAAGCTAGATAGATTTGCAGAAGACGTGTGATCGAGCGCCCTGCCTGTCATCCACTTACGGAAACAATGGTCCATTGTTGGTGTGTTTCTATGCACATGCGTATGTTCTGCAAGGGAGTTGATGCAGTTTCCATATGTTGTGTCATGTTACTATATGCCAGCACCCTCACCCTCCGAGAGGTGTCTATAAATAGCCTCTTATATGGTTAAGAGGTGTCCAAAAACCACCTGTTGGAAGGCCCTGGTAGTTGCTTTAAACTGGTTTGAACATTGTTGTTCATATCCTCGCCCTTCCATTCTCAAACACTCCATGTATGCCATATATGCCTACATAGGGGTGGTGCCAGCGGGGTCAATGGGGCGGCATATATGGCAGTCCCATTAGTCGTGTCTGGGATTGTTGACCACTTGTCGACCGATGCCTGACCAATACCGATGCCGACCGATAGGGGGGCTTCCTTCCGATGGTTCCCCGGCGCCAGGAGTTGGAACACTTGGGCGTGGGTGAGCATAGTGCTGCTTGGGCGGAGACCTTGAAGAACGTCACCAGCCTTTGGCATCAGCTCAGCCTGGCGTGCTTCTTGAAGGATGCTCAGGGAAGCTTGAGGATGGATGAGGATGCCCTAGGGATGGATGAGGAAGGATGAGGATGAGGGTTTACCCGACGTCCACCGGCATCAATCACCTAAGTACCTGGTTAACGGATTTTTTTCGGATATGATCAGGTGACGTTTCTTCCTCTGATATCATTGAATTTCCCCGTCTTTGGACACATGTTTCAAGATGCTTCGATGGGCTTCCCCGCTTCAACCTTGCAACCTCCAAGCCTAGCAGTCGGGCCGACGGGCAGACGGAGGGCTTTGGTTTGTGTATACTTGTGTCCGGCTGCTTGGGGAGGCTGGGATCGGAGGACTGGACATGGGTGTGGACAGACAGATCCCCTGACCCAAGCAGTGAGTAGACGGACTGGTCTATTTCCCTTGGGACCACGAACGCGAGCTGGGGAGCCTCGGCATTCTGGACACCCTGAGTCAATGGACCTTCGAGGCTTCGAGAGGGACCGCTTTCCATGGCGAAGGACCTAGCAGTCGACCTGTTTGTTCAGCCCATCACCAGGGCTTAAAGTGCATGCGGTTCGAAGGTGTTTGGGGTGGGTTTGATATGGTTTGATTGAGGAGTTTTAAAACACCTTTCGGAAGCACTTCCTCCGTTCAGGAGGAGCATGTCTTGGAGGTGCAAGGCTTGGATGCCTGGATGCATTTGCAGTTCCAGTGGCTGGCTCTGAGGACGCGATCTGCGACTGTGTGTTTCGAGGCGAAACACATCTTGTCCCGGTGTTTTCAGATATTATGATATGATTATATATGTTAAACCTTTACTTGGAATGATCGAACCCACTGACACTCATATTTCTTAAGTGAGGTGAAACCACCAACCGGTAATGCAGCATTGTAAAGCGTTAATGCACTTCACTGAATATCACTCAATCGTGCTCTTTTCGAGCTCATCCTCGAGCGTTTATGTTGTTGGGTGAACTGCACGACTCCTAAATGGAAGCTTAATTGCCAGGTTGGAGGGCCTTTGTCAACAGCTGCACAGTTTAGGAACTCATTAGAGATTCAAAGTATGTCTCCATTCCTTTCTTTTTGCAGGTGTGGGCGGTATAGAGGGGCTTATATCATATTCATGTCAAAAAGCTTGGCGCGAATCTAACATAGCATGGTGCGACAGTTGGATGTGGGACTTGATTGAAGTGCCTTCAAAATGTGCGATGATTACGATTGCAGAAGGCATTGTATTAATATGCTGGCATGTTCCAAGCAATAGGGAACTCACAAAAACGCGATATACCCTATGGATCCACATACCTGCTGAGAAGGTGATTGGATATTTATGTAAGCTTGGAAGGCCCAAGGACCTTCTTAACAGGTATGTGGATCCCTGGAGACAATTTTTAACAAGGTTCCAAGTTCCAAGACATTGGAAAACTATTGGGGCCTCACGAATCTGACAATGCACTAGCCATGCATTGTAAATGTTGACCATACCTCGTATGAAGATACCCTAGCTTGTGACATCCCACCGCTTCCACGCCCTGCTCGCGAGGATTCTGGCCTTGTTGGCGCTGGTGCCCCTGGCGGTGTGTCCATTGCACTGGACACACGGGGGGGAGCCGCGAGGTGTTTTCGAGGCTCAACTTGGCGGTGAGTGACTTGGATCGCAGCAAGAGAGGTAGCCAGTGACCTGATCTATAGGACCCAACTGGATTCGAACCTGGGGTACCCAACTGGGATAGTCTATATAGTTAAGCAGCTAGAATGTTTTACCTAATCTTCAGTACCAGTTGGTGTGATGCCCTGAGGATCTATGTCCGTGGAAAGAGCTTGCAGAACCGACATGGTGAGGTGAGAAGACCTTTGTTGGCGCAACAAAAAGCATGTTGAAACACACCTGCACCACCATCACATTCCATTGGGTGTTCTGGTTGAAGATCACGGCTCCTGGAAGGTCCCTCATCGATTGGAAAAGCAACTCCGAGGTGAGGATCGCTCTTATGTACTTTGGCTCCATGTGGCAGTGGTTTGGGGCGTGATCATGCTCACCACTCGACAGCTTCTTGGACTACGGTGGTGACGACTGGCGATGCGGGTTCTTGCTGTGGTCGTCCTGAATCATTGGTGATGCTGGGTGTGTTGGCGAGGGAACCTAAGTCGCTGGAAGGCCTTTCTCTTTAGGCATTTCTTTAAGCAACATATTTTGTGGGTGTTTGCCTCTTTCGTGCTCTAAACCACCAATATCCACCAATCGCATAGTCATGGAGTTCATAGATTTGGGCCAGAGTTGTGTGAAAGGCTTTCCACACACCGAACCACTTAAAGACATCTAAATCAAAGTAAACCTCCCCCACACCCCCTATAGTTTCTATATTTTTCTCCCAGCACCTCACACCACCTGTCTTGATGGGTGTCTTGGTGGGATTCCCATCACCTCAACAGTCCTCCGAGCCCTCACCACTCACCTTCGCCAGTCCTAGAACTGAGCCCTTGCCCTCGCTAGTCCGCACTTTCCAGGCTGCAGATGGCCATGAAGACCTTTGTGCCTGTGCGCTACCGCTTCCTCAGTGCTATGCGCTTCCCTCAAGCGACCACCGTGCTGGTGGAGGGCCTTCCGGACTCCTTATGCTCCGACCTGCGCGGCTTAGACGGATGGAATGGCGGGTCAGAGGGGTCGGTTGGTAGGCATAGACCTACACATATGTATGACATAGACCTACCTTTATTGTATAGCATCTAATGTAGAAGGAAAACTAGTATATATCATAATCTAACATATATATATATATATACAAGGAAGACTGGGGAAAACGCCAACATGGACACAGTGCAAGAGACACAGGCACAGAGTCCCGCGATGTTCGCACTTGGTCCTGGAGAAAAAACTCCTCGAATAGTGCTTTTGTGTGACCGACTCCAGTAAAGTGAGATCAAACTGACCGGTTCGTTAATATTAAGCAAATCCAAGGGAGGGGTGGTTTTGCGAATCCATGTAGCTTTTTTAGCTTGTGGGTAACTCCCCTGTCATGGGGCAATATGTTTGAATCGTTTCCTGGTTTCCTGGGAGCTTTCCAAGACATAGTCGGCATTTGGGGGTAAGGTTTTTTGTGCCTTCCGTTGTCCCAAAAGTTGGTCTACCGACGAGAAGCAGGCCCCAATTCACGAACGTTTATGAATTTACAGTACGTTTCAGTCCGGGGAAGCTGGCTTGTTGGCAAACAACATTGTTGGCTTCAGTACCTTGGGAATTGCCTTGGTGTTGTGTGCCCGGATTACCCTCCTGCAGGTCAACATGGGACCCCCCCAAACACTGGAATGTAGAGAAAACTGGTCGTCCAAGGGTGAGTTCTCAGCGTTCATGTTACGATACGTTTGCGTTCATGTTACGCACGATTGCACCAACCCGAGGTTTGCACTCCTATTTTTCCAACCTCTTCGGAGAAAATGCGGTGGTCCGCTGCTATGTGGTGCGGAACGCCAAGCTGTTGTCCAAGAAGCTGGATTCTCCTCCAAAAATAAAGAACATGGACACAAATACGTGCAAGTCCCATACCAGCACCATCCAAGCGGTTTCCCATAGACTGCCCATACCCTGCCCACACACTCGGCCTGTAGAGGGAGCCCCGGCACCTCTGGCACGACAAAAGGTAGGATTAGAGTTATTAGATCAGTTGAGGTTTAGCATTTTCTTTGTCAGATCGGTCAGGTGGTGCTTGGTGCAAGACTCTCCTCATTCCCTTTCTCCGGACTCACTCGTTCGAGAAGTGTTTCGTCCCAAAGCACCAACATCTTCAAGTTTGCTCGAAGCCAAGGCTACCACGACTAGAAGGTCTACGTCTTAGGTCTTATCATTTTTTTGGTGTGGATGTTCCTCTATAAACGTATGACCACACTCGTGGCGGTGGGTGAATTCCAAGCCATGTGTACACAGCATGTTTGCCCAGGGCTTCTGGTCTTTTGTATTCTGCGGTGATTCTTCTAGAGTCTCTTATTTCTTCCATTGGGGTGGTTTGAGGGGGCGGAGCCTCGGCTGTGTACGCGGAGTTTGCCTCGTTTGTACACGCGCATAGATTTCCTCGGTTGTGCACGCGCTCCTCGGCGGTGCACGCCGCTTGCTCGGCTGAATGAATGAATGAATGAACGAATGAATGAATGAGTGCATGAATGAGGGACGCTATTAACACCCCCCCCCCCCCCCCCCCCCCCCCCCCCTCCCAACCCAACATCATCAATCAAACGCAGAGCATCTGTGTGACGTGGTACTGTGGAAGCAATGAGCAAAAAGAGATCATCATGACTCAATTTGCAGTGTGCGCAGGTGAGCGAAGTCTGTGTGCGCAGATGAGTTTGAGGTAACATGCACTGTTTAAAGAAGAATGTAATCGATGTGTGCGCAGCTGAGCGAACCCTGTGTGCGCAGGTGAGTTAAATGTAATTATAAAAAAAGGCTGTGTGCGCAGGTGAGGCGAATCCTATGTGCGCAAGTGAGGCGCCATCCGGTTTGAGGGGTCAGTTTATCAGCGTATATTTTTTCCATAGCGATATTAGAGTGCTTGGCATGCGCCATCCCGACCCGCCCGCCGTAGAATCCATAGAATATACGCCAAGTTAGGTATTCCAAAATAGGCCTACATGTCCAGCGATCTTCCACCGATTTTGCTGGAAAACCTACTCGTCTCATGCTTGACCGAGGGGATCGATCTCCGATCGCCGCAGCTGAACCCGACTCGCTGCAGGATCGACTGCGGAAAGCGCAGCGGGCCTTGGAAAGAGCGACCCGAAGCGAAGGGGAGGCCTCGCCTTCCTCTCCCATGGCTTCTTGCAAGCACAGAAGTGATGCGTGGAAGGCTGATGGATGGCTGCAGCCAGGGTTCCGTTGCTCCGCGGCTCATCACTGAAAATCACTGTTCCAGTGGCCAAGACTGCGAAAGGATCTGAAAGAACAGGGCTCCCTCTCATCATTTGGGGCCAATTCTGTAGTTCAGATGCTGTTTGTTGTTCTTGTGGTTTTGGGCCTATGGCCTATGCCCTGCCGGGGTTGCAGTTCATGTGTGGCTGCCTGGCTCTCATGGTCGCCCCTGGGTTGAGTGAAGCAGGCAGCGAAGTTCGGCAAAGCTGGCTTTGGAAGAGTTGGAGGGAGGGTATGCCTTGAATTCCCGTCAGCTTTCAAGCGTACCAGGCTATGCCATCGTTGACCACTGAGAGTCGAGAGAAAGAAAGAGAGAGAGAGAGAGACAACCACCAACCAACCAACCAACCAACCAACCAACCAACCAACCAACCAACAAATATCCCGCTTTCAATGACAGGCCGTTAGGATTCCTTGTCCACCATTGATTTGTAATGGGTTGAACAACCATTTTTTAGACAACAAAATCAGGTCCAACCATTTGTTCAATTCTAGAATGGTTTTGAAAGGCCAGGGTATGGTCATAAAATGTCGTAAATTGGGTATATAAATGTCAATGTAACTCTTCCACACATGGATTGTTTGAAGGGGAGGCCCAGCAAATCTACGATCTTTACGATGTTTGTTGGGTTGGAGGCCAGATCTCTCCCATTAATGGTGCGACATTGAGTGCGAGTCCTCTTGGGTGTGGGGGTGCTTGATTCACGAAGGTCATTTGGAAACAGATGGTGCCCCCTCTTGAAGACAAAGTGTCACTCCTCACTCACGGTGAGATGTCAGCCCGACAATTTATAGCCTTGCGTGCCACTTTTTGGTGGGCCTATTGTTGAAGGGAAAATTATCCTGCCGAAACTGTTGTAGAGTTCATGGCACTGGCACCCAAAGATTTCTTTTAGAAGGGGTCCATTTAAAAAAAATGGTCACTCGTGTCATCGAACCTCTGATGGCCCACGCGTCATTCTTTCCTCCTTGCAATGATCGAAACCACGGAGAGGAGCTCCCTTGGTTGCTCTTGCAGGTTTCAGGAGCTCCTTGAAACCTGCAGGAACTCTCTGAAACCACCTTCGCAACCGTTCGGGCTTGGTGGTTTCCAAGTGTTTCTTTGCCCTTTGTGAGTCTCTTCGGGCATAAGTCGATCCATCGAGATCCCCTAGCAAGGCGACACTCCAAATATATTTAAAAGACCAGGGAGTGGGGTGAAAACGGGCCTCAATTGTAGTCATACAATGTCATTCATGGAGACCGTGGAGATCCCTGGGCTTTTGCTTTATTTTCGCTATCATGTTCTAAGTCCCTGTGGATGAGTCCCCTTCATTGAGGGGACGGTTCCTGGACTCCGCGAAACTCCCAGCAGATATATACGTGGTCTTTCGATCTTTGGAGCACGGAATTGGTTTAAGGAAGACTCGGAAAGCCATGATGTTAGGGGTTGAGCCACACAAGGATTGTCTGCAGATTTCCCCGGCACCAGGTGCAATTCCGCCTCGAAGCGCTGAAGGATATCACGGAGGAAGTGGCTGCGGAGCGCATACGCCTGGGGCGCTTGTCTCATGCCTTGGATCCAGATGTGTGCACCAGCACTGGCTTTGCGACCTGCTTGAGCTGGTATGACCTGGTGGTTTTGATAGAAGGACGCAGTGTGGTCTTACGACTGGGCAAGTAGTCCCTTGAGGACCCTTGAGAAGGCTTGACTGAAGGCCCAGTGGCAGAAGGACCCGGTGAAGAAGGAGCATTTCAGCTTGTTGGTCGAGCATGAATCAGGCAAATTCACAACTCCCCAATGGCATTAATTCGTGTTTTCTCACACCACCTGAAAAATTGGATGGAATACATAGCAATCAGGCGACCTTCAGCACGCTGTAACGAGGTGACCTTCAGCACGCGCTTGGACATGCGCCTGGCCGCCCGGGAGCAGTTGGGTACGGAGTCCTTCGCACTGCAGCTGCAAGCGGCTCCCGATGTGGAGGATGTGAACTACGAGAGCCTCCTGGTCCGACCCAGCTTCACACAGTCGCTTGGTGCAAGTGATCCAGTGAGCCTATGTAATATATATATATATATACAATTATATACATATATA